TAACGACAGTTAATAATAATTGGTATTTTCTACTTCATAATATGCAATTAAAAAGACCAAAGATGTGTTTTATATGTTTACTCTTACGTATAACCAGCCATATTTGGGAAAATCTTGTTATCTTGGAGTGAAGGGTTAGTGAAGAAGAACTAAAGAGCCTCTTGATGAAAGTGAAAGAGGAGAGTAACAAAGTTGGCTTAAAGCTCAACATTCAGAAAACTAAGATCATGGCATTGGTTCCCATCACTTCATGGGAAATAGATGGGGAAACAGTGCACACAGTGGCTAGCTTTATTTTTCTGGGCTCCAAAATCACTGCAGGTGGTGATTGCAGCCATGAAATTAAAAGACGCTTACTCCTTGGAAGGAAAGTTATAATGAACCTAGACAGCATATAAAAAGCAGAGACATTACTTTGCCAACAAAGGTCCATCTGATCAAGGCTATAGTTTTTCCGGTAGTCGTCTATGGATGTGAGAGCTGGACTATAAAGAAAGCTGAGCACAGAAGAATTGACGCTTTGAACTGTGGTGTTGGAGAAGACTCTTGAGAGTCCCTTGGACTGCAAGGAGATCCAACCAGTCTATCCTAAAGGAGATCAGTCCTGGGTGTTGGACTGATGTTGTAGCTGAAACTCCAACACTTTGGCCACCTGATGCAAACAGCTGACTCATTGGAAAAGACCCTGATGCTGGGAAAGATTGAAGGCAGGAGGAAAAGGGGACGACAGAGGATGAGATGGTTGGATGGCATCACTGACTCGATGGACATGGGTTTGGTGGACTCCGGGAGTTGGTGATGGACAGCGAGGCCTGGTGTGCTGTGGTTCATGGGGTTGCAAAGAGTCGGACGTGACTGAGCAACTGAACTGAACTGAACTGAAGGGTTAGTATTCTATTCACTAGAAATTTCTCCTAAATGCAGTCTTGTTGTCCTTATTTCCATACTTCTCTGTGCCTACTGACTGAGGATTAGCCTATTTTTTCTCTTCTCTCTCCAAATTCTTTATGGGTACTCTAAGATGTCTCTGAATACAAATAATCTTCACTTTACCTCCAACTCTGACACAAAAGTACCTATGCCCTGCCTGCACTCCTCTGTGTTCCTCCTATGTACGTGTCCTCCACATCCTGGCATTATTCTTTCTACTGTAAAATTTTTACCACCATTAGAAATATCTTACTTCATATTTCTGACCTCTTTAAAAAAAAAGGCTTCCAGGTTTATAACTTTCAAGGTTATATAAAAAGTTTCAACAGTAAAAGATAATCCATTCAAACCAATCAATCCTAAAGGAAATCAGTCCTGAATATTCATTGGAAGGACTGATGCCGAAGCTGAAGCTCCAAGACTTTGGCCATCTGATGCGAAGAGCTGACTCACTGAAAAAGACCCTGGCGCTGGGAAAGATTGACGGTGGGAGGAGAAGGGGACGACAGAGGATGAGATGGTTGGATGGCTTCACTGACTCGATGGACATGAGTTTGAGTAAACTCTGGGAGTTGGTGATGGACAGGGAAGCCTAGCGTGCTGCATTCCATGGGGTCTCAAAGAGTGGGACACAACTGAGCAACTGAACTCATTCAAAATGAGCCAAGGAAGAGATGAAGGAGGCAGCCACTCCAGATTGGTAGGTGGCAGGTTTAATAAGCAAGGGAACTTATATATGAGGCTTGTCTTGGGTGGCTACAAGACAGGAGATTGCCACAACTTCCTGCCAGAAACTTAAGAGTTTACATAGAGGCCTTAATGTATACAGTCTAGATGGTCACAACTACATGTTATTCTCAAGGCTGCATCGTTGAAGTGGCTCCTAGCATAGCAACAGTTGGTGGAACGTACACTCCAAAAGTCTGCCTTTCAATTTGTGCACCTCCACGGATTTCCCAGGTGGCTCAGCGTGTAAAGAATCTGCCTGCAATGTAGGAGACACAGGAGACACGGGTTCATTCCCTGGGTCGGAAAGACCCCCCTGGAGAAGGAAATGGCTCCCCACTCCAGTATTCTTGCCTGGAGAATCCCCTGAGCACAGGAGCTTGCTGGGCTACAGTCTATGGGGTTGCAAAGAGTCAAACATGACTGAGCAGCTAACACACAGGCAAGCAACAGCAGATGTATCAGTTCGGTTCAGTCGCTCAGTCGTGTCCGACTCTTTGCGACCCCATGAACTGCAGCACGCCAGGCCTCCCTGTCCATCACCAACTCCCGGAGTTTACTCAAACCCATGTTCATCGAGTCGGTGATGCCATCCAGCCATCTCATCCTCTGTCGTCCCCTTCTCCTCCTGCCCGCAATCTTTCCCAGCATCAGGGTCTTCTCAAATGAGTCAGTTCTTCGCATCAGGTGGCCAAAGTATTGGAGTTTCAGCTTCAACATCAGTCTTTTCAGTGAACACCCAGGACTGATCTCCTTTAGGATGGACTGGTTGGATCTCCTTGCAGCCCAAGGGACTCTCAAGAGTCTTCTCCAGCACCACAGTTCAAAAGCATCAATTCTTCTGCACTCAGCTTTATTCACAGTCCAACTCTCACATCCATACATGACCACTGGAAAAACCATAGCCTTGACCAGACAGACCTTTGTTGGCAAAGTAATAATGTCTCTGCTTTTTAATATGCTGTCTAGATTCGTTATAACTTTCCTTCCAAGGAGTAAGCGTCTTTTAATTTCATGGCTGCAATCACCACCTGCAGTAATTCTGGAGCCCAGAAAAATAAAGTCAGCCACTGAGTCCACTGTTTCCCCATCTGTTTGCCATGAAGTGATGGGAACCAATGCCATGATCTTAGTTTTCTGAATGTTGAGCTTTAAGCCAAATTTGTCACTCTCCTCTTTCACTTTCATCAAGACGCTCTTTAGTTCTTCACTTTCTGCCATAAGGGTGGTGTCATCTGCATATCTGAGGTTATTGATATTTCTCCTGGCAATCTTGATTCCAGCTGTGCTTCCTCCAGCCCAGCATTTATCATGATGTACTATGCATATAAGTTAAATAAGCAGGGTGACAATATACAGCCTTGACATACTCCTTTTCCTATTTGGAACCAGTCTGTTGTATCATGTCCAGTTCTAACTGTTGCTTCCTGACCTGCATACAGGTTTCTCAAGCAGATGCATATTCAATCCTAAGTCTTTGTTGATGTGTTTGTTTCCTTTTGTAGTCTGTGAACTCCATGGTAGTGACTATATATATTTTTTATACTTGCTTTCTCTGTCTTTAGCAAAATGCCTGGCACACAGAAGGTGCTCATTAAATATTTTGATGAATCGGGCATGAATGAATAAAGGCACTTCTTCAGTGCAGGAATAGATCTGTTGCATGGCTATTTCTCCTCGACGGAAGAACATGAGATGATCCTTTAATGTGGATCTTTCCTGTGGAGTTGATTGACTGACTGATTCATTAAACATTTATAGAGAGCCTGATAGGCTTCAAGTAATGAGTCCATATAAAAACAAGTATAGTATCCTCTGAGTCTATGAGAAAATGATTCTTCCAGTACAGGAAGCAGCATTAGTACATTTTGGTTAGTCATTCCTGCAGATGAATGCTGAATAGGTTAAGGAGTGGTTAAAGCTGAATATTTACATACCAGTGTGAGTTTGGACTTTCATGTCCCTGACCTGGTCTTCAGGATGGCCCTCGCCTTATTTCATTTCTGCACAGGGAGGCTGTATGCCTGTTCTGGGCCTGCCTAAGGCAGCCATGTACTAAAACTGCTGCAGACCAGAGCATGGCCAGGGCATGCACAGGTGCGCATGTCAGGTGAGGTAAGCATGAGGCAGAAAAGGCATGTTTTGAGGATCTTGGCACCTTCTAATCCTTGTTCTTCTCCAAAGATTCTGACTCACACAAGGCTTCCTCTGCTCATTCCTAAGGAAAACAAATTCCCTGTTATCGCCAGCTTCCCAAAACTTGTTCTTATCAACAATATGAAGCTCATTTACTTTAGGTAATCAATTACTAATGATGAGGGCTTCCTTCCTTTATTCTAAGAAAGCAAGTTCGTCTTAATTTCTTCCCTGTCCAAAGCCTGCTTTCAGAAGAGAATCTGAAATTTCTCTACTATAAAAGGTCAAAGATTATTAGTTCAGAGATACCTTTCTAGTGGGTCTTCCTCTCTAAATAGTATACCCAATGGATGCCTGAGATTATGTTCTAGGAAACATGTAAAAAGACAAACAAACCGAGGCTTCTGAAATTATTCCCAAAAGGTGGTTATCTTCTTTATCTACCAAGCTGGACAAAGTGGGGGATGGGTGGGGAGGAAAAAAAATCAGGGAGGAAAAAGCTCAGTGTCAAGGGCAGAGGTAGAGTTAAGCTAAAAAAACGTCTGAGGTCAGCGGTTAATTAAGGAGAAAGAAACTGTGCAGGCAGTGCTCAGAGGAAGAAATTACATTGAGTGATGTGTGACAGGAGCTGGAGTTACATAACTATTTTGGTGCAGGCTGCAAAAAAAGGAACGTGTCCTGGTTTATCTCTTCTGCATTAGAACATCTTTGATTTTTAAGCCTTTCACATTCCCTATCAGAAAGACGGGGGCGAAAAGGAGGGGAGAGTGGGCAGAAGCAAAAAAAGAGGCTGGAGGGGCTCCGAAATTCTTCTTCCCCCGCCTCTCCGCCCCCGCCCCCGCCGCAAGCGCGCACCTCCCCTCCCCCGCCACCGAGAAAGCGCTGGTGGGACTCTGGGCGGGCGCTGGGAGGAGCCTCTGGAGCATCCTCAGAGCAGCCGCCTCTGAGCACCATGGGAAAATCCTTCCTCCCTCGGACATGGCGCCCACCTGCCCGGTGGCAGCAGCCGGCTCCGGCGCCGCGATTCGCGGGTCCGGGCAGAAAGGCAGCTGGAGTTTCGGTCGTGGGGCGGAAGGAGCTGGAGGGGGCGGGGGCGGGGGCGGCGGCGGTGACGCCGCCCGAGGTCCCGCGTGTTAAAGCTGAGGGCATCTGGGCGGCGGGCGGCGGGCAGCGGGCAGCGCCGCGCGTGCCGGCCCAGGCGCGCAGGCATGGGGTCCCAGGTGCTGCAGCTGCTCCGGCAGGGCGTGTGGGCCGCGCTCACCGGGGGTTGGTACCACGACCCCGATCAGAGCACGTTCACCAACAGCTGCCACCTCTACCTGTGGCTGTTCTTGCTACTGCTGCCCCTGGCGCTGCACCTGGTGAGTGGGGGTGGGGGCCGGTCAAGCCTTGGGGTAGCCTGCGAGTCTGCCTTCAGGATGGAAGGGGTTGGCGGTGATTCCTAGGAGCTGGAATGGAGAAGGTCTTCAGGAATTTGGTACAGAGAAAGTACAGGCAAGGGGTCAGGGAGGGACTCCCCCGGCAGAAGTAGAAAGGACTTCGGGGGCTCTGGGACTCATTAAGAATTGATGCTCGCTGTTCCGATGAGTCAGACTCTGCTTGTCACTGTGCAGTGTAGAACCGATTTTACATGTGAACAGCTCCAGGCCCCTTGGCTGGGTAGCTTAGGACAATATTTAGTATAAGATGCTGTGCATGATAACCAGAAGGCAAAATGAAATGTTAAAAGCAAAGCTATTTCGGTTGTTAATCTGTTACCCCTTTTCTTCCCTTTCCTGTTTTGCTTTGGGAAGGCAGGTTCAATGATCAATTACTCCATTTGTGGTTTCCACACCGCTCTGTAAAGAAATCTGTAGAAAAAAGTAATGATGAAGAAATCTAATGTAATTTATTTGACCCTTTAGTGAGGTTACACAGTTGAGTGCTTGCCGAATAACTGCATAGATGACCTTCATAGGTAAACAAACCCAATTGAAACAATGTTTAACCTTCTTTGAAAAGCTCTACAAGTAAGGCACTCCAGGTCATATGAGATGTGTTCAGAATAGAATTTCGATATGCCTATTGAAGGACTTAATTTCTAAAACATAACTTGATCATGTTCTCCACAACAAAAATCTTCAGCGAGTTTGTATGGCTGACAGAGTCCCATTTTGCCATTAGATGTTGTCTGTGATTTCATTCCTAGTTACTCTTTCTGGTAGTTTATCTATAGGATCAGAATTCTGGTTCTGAAGTCAGGTTGCCTACATTAAATTTTGAGTTCATTCCTTACCAGTTCTGTGAGCAAGTTACTTTTACTTTATCTGATTAAAAAACTTTTATCCTTAAAATGAGAAAAATACTAGAACAGTGTTGTTTTGAGGCTTATATCAACATGTAAAGCTATCCATCTTTATGGCTTTTGACCTGGGATTGGACACAGACCTGGTGTAAATTTCTGTTTGGCTACTTATTAGTTGTTTGACCTGTTCTTGGCCTTAATCTAAATCTTAGCTTGTCACCCTTGAAATAAATGTGATAATGACCATTTCATGGGAAGAATAAATAAAATTTCATGTAAAAAACAATACAATGGCTGACCCTTGGAGATCCTTTAATAAATTTGTTTCCTCTTCCTGTGTGCCCTTATCCTTCATGTTTTCTTGGCATAGAGTTCCCAGTGTTTTCTCTTTGCCTAGAGGGGAGAGATGAACCAAACTTGGATTCAGTTCTGGTTTTTCTGCTCACTGGTTGTGTGAGCTTGTGCTTCCTGGTTTGTGTACCCAATAGTAGCAGCCTTACAGGGTTCATAGGAGGATTGAATGAATTAATGAATAGAGGACTGAATGAATTAGTTAACAGTTGATTGAATGAATGAATCAAACTACTTCTCAGTACTGTTTTTTTCCCGCATCATTCACTTGCCAAAATCTGTCCATTCTTCAAAACCCAGTGGGATGGCCATTTCTGTCTAGGTGTCCTTGTTTCCACTTATCTAGAATTAATTTCTTTTCTCTCCTGCCTTAATATCATTCTCTATTTACTGTCAGTACTGTGGCATATTCTGAATTCTGTACTTAGTTGTTGGAACATGTATTTTAGCTCTACGCATGGATTGGGAGCTTTTTGAGGACATGGGTTTTGATTTTGTTGATTCATCTTGGTTTCCCTAGCAGGGTGCCCTATATTTGGTTAACAGTGATCTCATACATAATCAACTGGTGGAAATAAAGTCAACCTTCCTGCGCTTCTGTTCCAGTCAGTATTAGGTTGTCTATCTTACAGCACATTCTGAGTATTTCCTGATAATGAAAGCAACACATACTTCACTTCTAATCCCACTCCTCAGCAACAACCAAATTAATGTTTAATATAATTCCTGCAGATTTTTAAAAAATGAATATGGGCTCCTTTTTGCATAACTCCTTTTAAAATTTGATGTATGTGTATGATCAGAACCCTTAATTTCTACCTAATTATGCTTCATTGAGTAGCTTGATTTCTACTTTCTATTTGTGAATAGGAAATTGTTTGTAGCTAAGTTTCTCTTTAATGATATTTCAAAGTAATTTTTGGCTAAATCTCAAGAGTTTAGAAATCAAAAAAGTGATACCTCAAATACTTTTGTATCGGGTTTTCTGAATCAAACCAGTTATACTGAAATTTTTATATCTTTTGCCATTGTGCTTTTAATCATTACAGAATCATTTAATGTGAGTACATTCATTACATTGCTGTTTTTTAAAATAAGAATAAGATAGCCTGTCTTATTGAAAAAAGTGCAGGTAGTCCTTTTCTTGCTCTGGTCTTCTGGTTTCTGAAAACTAATTTAGAAATAAAAGACCCTTCTTCCCCAGTGGAGGGTTCTGTTCTCTGGGTTTTGATGCCTAAATATATTTTTCTGCACTTCAGTGCTCCTGTGATTGTCAACATCTTTCTCAGTTTGTTCCACTTATGAGAACATCATCCGAAAAGATCCCTGGCTGCTTGCTGACAGCAGGGACATATAAAGTTCTGTTATTTAAAGGAACTGAACTTTTCTGGGCTTTTCACAATTTATTTAAACGTGCTTAATCAAGACAGTTGCTCTGTAAGAAAAATCCACCCTTTAATTTAATGGGGACTTTGAATAGGTAAATATAATTTTTGTTATTAATTATCAAAGCAAACTAATCTCTAAGCCCCAGCATTTATTTAGGTCTAGGTGGAAAATATGTGTTTATTAACATTCATAAGCTATGTATTTTCAAGAAATGCTCAAAATATATACCTAAAAACAAAGGTCATTTTAGATCATTTGAAAAGAGTTTAACTTTGATTTATTATCAGCTTAATTTTAGTTTGGGCAAGCTGAAAGATCCATTTGTCATCAGAGATGTTTAGTTTCTCATTTTTTACATGTGTTCTTATATTTATTCTTTGAAGATTCATGTAGAGCTTTAAAATGGGAGCACCCTGGCCCTGATTCTGACCCAGAATAAATTCTGGCAGCACCAGACTAGTGTCAAAAAATGTCCTTGCCCTATTACTTATCAATTGTGTGATCTTATGCAAGTCTCTTCACTTCTCTGGGCCTCAGTTTTCTCATCTGTAAAATGGGGATTTTTTTGTTTGTTTTTAGATTAAGCCACTGAGATCCAGAGGGCATAGGTTACTTGCCCAAGACCATCTAGATAACTGGTAGTAAAATTTAGAGCTTTAGCTGAGGTCTTGTCTCCAAGTCTTTGGCCTTCTCACAGCATTGTGTTACCTGACCTGATATACTGATACACAAGAGAGGATTTGAACTCCCTGAATCAGTGACCCATCCTCAAGTGAAATTCTGAGCATCTGGGAGGTGGTAAGGTTAACCTGAATATAAGAAAAAAATGGGGTGGAAACTTTACATTCTTTAAGACCTCATATAAGGCATTATATTTTTTTAATTCTTTATTTTATGGTTGTAGCTTGATTTTTCCTCAGATTTTTTTTTTCTGTCTTTTAGCCAGACTTACTTGGCTTCCCAGGTGACACTAGTGGTAAAGAACCCGCCTGCCAATACAGTAGACATAAGAGACGAGGGTTTGATCTCTGGGTCGGGAAGATCCCCTGGAGGAGGGAATGGCTACCCACCCCAGTATTCTTTCCTGGAGAATCCTATGGACAGGGGAAGCTGGCGGGCTACAGTCCATAGGGTCACACAGGGTCGGACACGACTGAGGTGACTTAGCACGCGGGCACTCTGTTTCCAGTTCTGCTTGCTAATTTAAACTTGACGACTGTTTGGATAAAACCCACTTTGTCTCTAATTGCTGTGATTGTAATAAAGTGGGTCACTTGTCAGGGGCCATGTTGCCCCCGACCACAGTGGGTGGTCAGGGGGTGGTCTCACTGCCAGCCCTAGTTGGTAACTCTCCTATCACGGTCTGTGACCACTCCCCATTTGGGTCCACAGCTATTTTTCCTTAGGTTCTGTATTTCTTTGGCTACCCCTTCTCGCTCCTGCTTCTAACATAGAAGATGCCTTTGTGTGAATTATGGAAAGGTTGTCTGTCCAAAAAGACACCCTTCCCTGGCTCTGGACCTCGGGGCCGGACTTCAGTCACCATTTAACCCTGTCAGCTGGAGGCCTTTGTACAGTATGCAACCTGCGCACCCTGACACGACAGGCCTGACTGGTCCACTTGATTGTTGTTACTTTGTTGGACTGCTTGGTACACTACTGGTCCCAGAAGGTACCTCTCAGGCTGATCAGTCCTAGTGCTCATATTCACCTCCTTCATGAGAAAGGCTTTTTCTGCTGTTGAATCCCATGGCTCGCACTTAGTCTTCTTTGATTTGTAGAAGCTTGTTATCTGGTGCTTCTGCTTGTGGTGACTATTTATACTCACATGGAGATGCTTGATGCTTTATGCTTTCCCATAATCCACTTGAATGTCTGAACTTCCTTCTTCCTCCCCTCAGCTGCCTGAAACAAAATCGGTTTGAGGTTGAGAGATGCTTGAAGGCATTCTTCCCTGGGCCCTGGGCTTCCAAAGAAGTGCAGACCCGAGCCTTCTAGACTCGGGCCGAATGCCATCCCTTGCAATTGTCTTAAAATTTTTGCCACTCCAGATCCTTGTTTGGACTGTGTGTACAAAGAGCTTGGCTCCATGGGGACTTTGCTTTCCTGGTGCAAGCACATTTGCCAGAGATGTCCCTAGGATGTCGGGCATCCTAGGGCAGTCGTCTTCAATTTTTTCAAGTTTATATGGCCTTTCTTGAGTGACCTGGCCACCTTTTGCAAAATTCCTTCTACTTTTCCTCATCTTCTGCCATTTAGACACATGAATGTCTGCCAGCCAGTTGTGTTTTTGTGTCTGTGATTAAAAAGAAAGCACCTGCCTTGTTCTAGGATGTC